GTTGACATAAAGACTGCTCTGTTAAGGGGGGGGTCACTTTCACAATACAGAGAATAAAATGCACTCCCTCTCACTCTGGCCCAATGGCTATTTGAGTATTTATCCACAGTGGCCAGCGAGAGAGAAGAGAGAGAGCGGCTGTGTTGTCTAGTGATTAGGGCACCCACGTGGGATCCTGAGGGTCCGGTTGCCCTTTTCCAATCACTCTTTTATTATTTAGCCCCAGTGGAACAGCTTCACCAGGGAAGAATGTCTCATCAGAACCCTCCCATAGCTCAGTGGCATTTGCCTGGGAAGTGACAGACCCTGTTTAAATCCTGTCTCCCCCTCTGGCAGATGTGGGAATTGCACCGTGGTCTCCCACATCCCAGGTGTGTATGCTAACCACTATGAAGAGGACTAATCTAGTAGGCAGCCTCTGAGCATGACTACCAGGTCAGGCCTGGCAAGTGCTCTAGGCAGATGAACACCTATCTTCCCCCAATTCATGAAATGAGGGGCTTAGGTGGAGATAGGTTTTTTGATGCCTAGAGTGAGGCAGCCATGCGCATGCCCAGAGGCAGAAACTTAGGTGCCTACAGGGTTCAGCGGGAGTTTGATGGATAGCAACTGGGACTTAGGTACCTAGGTACTTTTGTGGGTCTGAGCATTGTAGTCTGAAGGCACAAACTGGTTCAGATGTCATTGGGACATTAGAGCTGGTAGGTGGAGCAGAGCAGATGGTGGTTGAGAAGTGGGTTGAAGGAGGAGAGGGATGGCGATGAGGGAGAGCGAATTGGGAAGCTGTTCCTAGCAGATGGGGTGCAGTGAAGGCAGGTAGGAAATAGGGATGGGATGGAGGGAAAAAAAGGGCAAGCAGGGGGTGGAGCGCAGGAAGTGGGACAGGTTTGCAGCAAGATTAGGTTTGAGCCAGAGGCAGGAGTGGAGCCTCAGTGAGGAAGAGAAGCTAGGATGGGACAAGGAAGAAGTGATTCCGATGCCTGCCCTCCCTCCCCCCGAACTGCCTTGGGGGGCCCAACACTGTACATGCCATGGAGGGAGTCTCTGGGGTGACACTGGGGAGGAGGAGAGGCCAGGAGTATGCAGGTTTTGAGGCCCAGCACCTCACACAGGTAGCCCGGCTATGCTGTAGCAGCTACTCTGGGCCAGTGGCTGGACAAGCAGCCACGGGTGGGAGATCTGTCCTTGTTGTCATTACAGATTTATTAGCAAGGACAAACGAACACAGTCTGTCTCCCTCCAGGCGTTCCTGCCCTTGTTGAAGAAGGCTGCACAGGAGAGCACCCAGACAGGGCTCAGCTGCGGCAAGGCGGCCATTATCAACGTGTCCACTATAGGGGGCTCCATCGGGAACACCCCCAGCATGGCCATCTTTCCAGTCATCTCCTACCGCTGCAGCAAGGTCTGGCCCATCTGCTAACAAGTCATGGGATCCGGGGGTGGTGGGGTGCATGTCCTATCTGATAATTCTGCAGTTACCCCGAAATAAAACATGCCCTGATGGTGTGTCCCGTGCTGATTCATGCACCAGGAAAGGGAAGGTTTCAGAGTGGCAGCCGTGTTAGTCTGTATCCGCAAAAAGAACAGGAGTACTTGTGGCACCTTAGAGCCTAACAAATTTATTTGAGCATAAGCTTTCGTGGGCTACAGCCCACTTCATCAGATGCATAGCATGGAACATAGAGTAAGAAAATATATATACATACAGAAAACATGAAAAGGTTGGAAGTTGCCATACCAACTCTAAGAGGCTAATTAAATAAGATGAGCTATTGTCAGCAGGAGAAAAAAAAACTTTTGTAATGAGAATCAAGATGGCCCATTTCAGACAGTTGACAAAAAGGTGTGAGGATACTTAACATGGGGAAATCATTCTGAACTATCTATGCCCATTTTGCCCCCAAACGGAGCGCGTTCCCCTTCATAAAAGACTTAAGCCCTGACTATCCCTACAGCCAAATACTCTTAATTTCTGCCCCCTGCCCCAATAAAGGGATCTGAGTCCAATTTGGAGCCACTTTTACAGGGGATTTTCTATGTGCACTCAGAGCATCCCACAAAGAGCAGGGGACAGAAATGAGCCCTCCACTGGCAGCGTGTGTTTGGCTGTCTCCCTGGCGTGGGATGTAAAAGGTAGCTAAGGTGTCCATAAAACTCCCCCTCTCTTTCCTTGATAACATACCAGGGATCGTTCTCAGCCCATTACAAACCATGAGACTGGGCAGTTCTGCACCAGAGAGGGTCTGTCCTCACTGCCCCATTGACATGAGTTAGCTGCACTCAAATGACTTCTCTCAAGTTAGCCCAGCTCGAGTGAGAATGGCCACACTGCAAAATAACTGTGACACTCAAACTGCTGTGTCCCCAGTGGTGCTGCCCTCACTCGTGTGTGGCTCTAAGACAGTGGTCCCCAATCTCCCAGTGACTATTGAAAGCAATCCGGGAGATTTTAATAGGCTATTTTAAGACAATGACATTATGGCATGTTGGAAAAAAAAATCTCCCAGAATAGCTTCAGTCAGAGTTGGCAACCCTCGTTGGGGGGTGGGTCTGGGGCCAGGAGCAGGGCTGAGGCCAGGGGCTGAGGCTGGAAGCTGGCACAGGGCCGGGAGCGAAGCCGCGCCAAGGCTGGAGACAGGGCTAGGCACGGGGCCAGAAGCTGGGGACGTAGCTGGGGGCGGGGCAGGAGCAGAACTGGTGGCTGGCGCGGGCCCCACCATACTCTCTGGAACATTTCCCCATACTCCCCTAGGCAGGCATTCCCCACAGTTTGGGGACCTCTGCTCTAAGATGTCTGAGGGCATAGCCCATGCATCCTTGTGCTGCGTAAGCCGCGCTGCTCTAGGAACTTGCCCAGGAGATTGTGGGAGATGGTGTCTGTCCTTGCTGGCATACTGGGGAAAGTATGGGAAGGCATTGGTGGCTTAGCAGCACTCGAGCTGCAGAACTGGCACGTTAACAGCTGATGAGTCGTGCTCACTTGAGGTTTGGTCTGTGCCCCATGAGGGGCCAGGCATCCAGCATTAACAGCTTCCCCACACTTGAGTGAAGGGTCTGTGAGTGTGTCGACGGGACCCTGGTTAGGGGCAACACACGAGTTAAGTCTGCAGTGAAGACAAACCTAGCGTTGGCACCAGACCTTGGGGGAAGAAGGATGTGGCTTTCAGGGACCTCAGGCCTCTGGCTCCAAAATTTAGGAATCAAACCAATTGCTTCCCTTAAGGAGTGGAATATGCACATGATCACAGTTAACAAGGAGGAGAGGAATAAAAACTATAACCCCGAGGAGACCCAGCTGAGTTAATGTAGCAGAGTAACCTGTAGCTTTGGGACCGTCCTCACTGGTCAGGACCTGATCTAGTGCTTTAATTCGCCTTAGTTTGCATTTCATTTTCCTGTTTTATGAAGGGAGGAGAAAGGAAAAGGGGCAAAGCTAGTTGGCCTGTGCAGCCTACAAGTTATGCAGGTTTCTCAGCAGCACAAGTCAATTATGTGCAGTTGAAGGAGCGTCAAAGTGCCACTTCTGGAACTCATAAATTTAATTCTCTTCCCCCGTGACTCTGCCTCTGCTCTGGACGTGCTTCACATCCAGACTGCTCTGAACATGCTCACGAGGTGCCAGTCGGTGAGATACAAGGAAGACGGGATCCTGTGCACTGCGCTGCATCCGGGCTGGGTGAAAACAGAGCTGGGAACTGCCAAGGTACAGCAGCTAATGACTTTCCAGAGATGTGCCCAGAGTCTCCTGGCAGCGTGAGGGTGAGATGGTGGTTGGGGTTAGGCACTATCACTCATTGCATCTATTGCCATTCGCTCAGACCAGAGTGTCATTGCTTTGCTGCTGATACCAAGACAAGTTTGCTCGAGGAAAAAACTGGATAGACTCAGACATTTAATGTGATCCAGATCAAATCCCCTTGGCCAAGTGTTGCTCACATGAACAGCTCTGATAATGTCTCCGCTCATTAGGCTTTTCTCTGCACTCCAGCCACTGCTGGCGCTGAACACGCCTTGCACCCACTGCCCTGTTTGCTCCTGCT